CGAATCCCTTCTCGCCGAAGTTCTTGCGGAACATAAGATTCATGACTGACAAATGTGTGAAACAGACAGGTACAATGTGACAAAGACAAGTAACGAACAGGGAGGAACGTCTGGTTCTCGCGTGTTTCCCGCTACTTTGTTTTATTCTCTTTTCTCTACTTTGGTTTTAATTCTCTTATTCTTATCTGTTTTCTGTTCACCGTAGCACGTGGTGGCCGAGCGATGTAATCGTTTCGAGATGTTTTCAAGTCCAAGGAGTAGTTGGTTTTTTGGAGCTTTACAGCGTATGGAAAGCAGCGCCGGTGGTGGTGGTGACGGTGTTCGACGATCACGAAAGCGTTCCTAGGCAGCTTCCCTACGTTTAACCGTGTTTCTTCTCTCAGTACCCCGTACGCGATTCCGGTTTCTTCCGTCTTTACTTTCCGACGTGTTTCTTTTTTTTTTTTATTCGTTCACTTTTCACGAGAGAATGAAACGAGTCCAGACCCGCACGTTCTCGTCGATATTCTTTCGATAAGCCAAAGAACCGTCGACGTCGAGCTTCGGTCGCGAGAACAACGATCGATCTGAACGATTACACTTGTTCGTTGAACCTTCGATTTCGAAAACTTGCCGCGAGGAAACCCGATTAATTAGGAAAGGACCGAATTTTGAAGGAACTCGACGCATCCTGATACGTTCGAGTCATTTCGTTTGTTAAGAGGAATAGATTCGCTTTGCCGTCGCTTTCGTCGTTCTCCCAGCGAACTTCGAAAACGAGGATTTCTCGTGTCTAACCAATCGTCGGCAGAGCGTAAACTTTTATTCGTGCTACTTTACTCGTCCTTCGGAATTACCCACTAGCGTCATGCACAGCTTTTCTTCTACTTTTCTTTCGGCACGGTAGCCACGCGACAACTTCGTCTCGAGTTCGGTCGCTGAAAGAAACGCGATTACATCGACTGTTCGTACGCGCCACGAATCTCGTTTAATCGAAAACCCTACCGCCTTGCTTGGCGTGCTCCAAGATAACTAATTTCCCGATCTCTTTCTCCGTCCAGTTGGCGAGTTACCATCGTACGTCCACCTGAACCTAGCATTTCCCGCCCTCGTCCGAGTATCGTCCGATCATAAGCGAAAAAAGCGCAAGATCATGCGGAATGAGATCACGAGAAGAACGCAACGATTTACAAAGTTGGTCGAGCCAACCTGTGCCGCGAAGACGATCTAACCACGCTCGATTTAGCTCACCAACAAACCTCAAGGTCTAGAATTATAATTACACCTCGGCAATAACGGTATCGCGTGTCACGCGAGAATCGCGGATCCTCGTTTGCGTTCTAATAAAGACACGTTACCCATGTTGGATCCAACGGCGACCCTTCGATCCTCGTTTGCCTGTCGAAACTCGTCGGAAACTCGCGCGATCCGTCTCACGCGTCATTCGACCAGCACCGAATCGTTCACGACTCGCGCGAAATTTCCAATATCGCGAGACGACGATTTCCAAGCGAATCGAGAGACCGTGGTTGGATTTCCTGATACGAACACTACGTCGCGACACGTCGTGACCCGTGACGTCGAGGTACAGGCAACGCGGACGTGCCCTCCATGCTAGGGGAGGACTGTTTGGCCGACCCTGCGACGCTGACTTTAATACTCGAGCCTTTCGATTGATCTGCCGCAGCCGCGAGGAAGACTGTCTTGTCACGATAGCGTTCTCTGTTTACGGCGCAGTCGGTGAAACGGGAAACGACAGAGGCGTTCGAGAGCTCGATACCTGCGACTCGACCTGCAACGTCGATCGTAGTTGCGCGAACCTGGCTCCTACAATATTTGTTAACAGGTTCGATCCGTTGCAGCTGTTTGAATAATTTTCGTCGATCGTGTAAGACCGATTTGTTCGAAACGAGGATACTGGGGATAAGAAATTGACAAACTTTAGTCGAAGATACCGTTTCATGTTTCCTGAAAACTGTGCCAGATAGGGACGAGGTCGTTGTGGAAGATTCAAAGTTTATTATTCGAGTTTAAACGTTGAATCCTCCGTAAGCAGAATTCTTTTCGCTCGCGAGACAACATTTTTTACTTTGCCTCCGAATATGCTAATCGTAACAGATAAACGTTATTCAGTTTTTGCGATAATGCACGTAGTTCGGGTTGCGCTCAGCCAACTACGCGTTTAAACGCTGTCGTACTTCGTACCGTCTTACAAACTGCGCGCGACTGCTGTCATTGCGAATAGGTTAAAGGATATACGGCGAACAATTATCCGTGCAGCAATTTCTATTTTTTAATCGAAACATTTAGCTCCTTAAGAAGCAGCATTCGTCCGCTTCCCTTTGACTTTCTAAAAACGATGTCACAGTCTCCCTAGCGAATGTTTCGTCGCGCGAAGAAGAGAATCGAGTCCTTTTCTTCGCGAAACGCGTATTCCTTGTGCTCCATCGGACAAAATACCTTTGACATTGCGAGCTAGTTACCTTTTGCGCATACAAAAGAGAAGCATTGAAACGCGCGATTACGCTCGATCTTACAATTCCGTTCAACCGGGGCAGAAGTAACGAACATCGCGAACGAAGGATCTTCTTCTTCCTAGAACTTGGCGCGGTGTTTTACGAACTGGTCTGCGGTCGATGGGTAACAGTTCGGTACGTCGCGTTACAACGTTAGGTTGGAGAAAGTCGCGAGGCAAAACGAACCGTGTTTTTTCGTGCAAGTCGAGAGTTAAGAAGGGGCCGCGTCTTAATTCGAGGTTGTTCGAGCTCGACGCTTCGCTGTGAGTAAAAAGGTACACGACTGTACGATCGCGATCGTAACGAAGAGCCACCTTCGGTTGCTTTCGTTTGTCTGTCAAAGAAAGACACCGTGCGCATACACGCCGGCCTTCTCAACATGGAAAGCGAACAGCAAGCAACAATTATCGGTTATCGGCTACGAAGAACGATCGTTAAGACGTTCAGTGCCGTCATACATGGTCCACGTTGAACCTTCCAACAACTACGCATTCAAATAACGAACAGGATGAGTGACCAGGACCAGCTTACTGGCATTAATCTTACTACTATGATTTGCTTCTACGTCTACTCAAAAATACAGAGCGAAGCGTGTAAAAACAGTGAACCAGAAGGATAAGATTCCTGGCAATCGGTACTTTGTTAATATATCGTGGTAAACACGAAACAAGAATAGTCGAGTCGATGATCGTGAAACTCGACGATCAAAGTACATATAGTTATATACTAGGATTTCGAGGTAAAGTAGGAACGGAGGCGTCGAATGGCTGTCCAGGTGTACACGGGTCTACTTCACTGCGGTCTACAGGGATTGGAACACAGCGGAACAGATGCACGAGCACATTTACGAGCCTAGAGTGGCACCGTTAATCGTTCGTTCGACCATAATAATTCCACGCCACAATTCACAAAACATGACGAGATACTTGGTTGGTGAACTTGTCCTCGCGAGGTAGTACCTGCTGATTAGTCCGCTGCGTGGTTGACGGACAGGCGACGCACAGGTAAACCGAGTTGCGGAGTTACAAATCAAACGGAGAAGTCACACAGAGAGTCGCGATCGCGAGACACACGTGTGTCGGCTATGCGCTAGATCGATGCGGTATTGAAATATTCAGGGGTGGACGGGTGTGGTGGTGGTGTGTGTGTGTGTGTGTCGCGCAGCGTCAAGGTCTTTTGTCAGCCAACGCTCGTTATCTCCGACCCTGGTCACCGTGATTCTTCCTCGTCGTGCACGTACGTACACCGTGTTGCCTCGGCCTGTGTTTCCGTCGAAGCTCGATCGCGGATAGGATCGATCGATTTGACGCGCGACCCACGTGTCCTCGTCGATTAACTTGCCGGAGAGCGAGGGTAGCTTCGCCACGCGACCGACAGCCTCGCACTGAGCGTGCACGAGGCGTCGCGACGCTGACCAGGCCCGATGACGTTGCGTTGCCTGCCCGCTCCACCGACTTCTCTTTTGCGCCGCTTTCGTTAGACGATGCTCGAGGAAATGCACCGAAATTTTCGATCAGCGTTGGGTGCTCCGATCGGTTTCGAAGCCTTTGTGGAATACTACAAGTTGGATCGTGTCTTATTTCTTGAAAAATACTGCGCGTTGCCTATAAGACGATATAAGTCGATAGCGTTTGTTGCCATAGTTGACGCGTCGTTGACTGCGTGAACCTGGTCCGCCTACATCCTGGCTACTACGCGTTCTTCGCAAGCGACGTGGGAAAATTAAATTCGAACACTTGCGACGCGTTAATATTATCGATCCTTCTAGCGATAATCGCGCGTATAAAGTTATTCTCATGGGTTTTGAAACGTCTGTGAATATCGAGATTACGTTCCTTGCGAGGTATCGCAGCTCGAACCGCTTTCGGTTGGCACTGGTTCTCGAGCACGAGGCGTCGCGACACACGCCAGGACTGCGAATAACCGAGGTTCTTGACGCGCCTGAGCAACGTTGCGAGCTCGTTGCGCGAATGCTTCTACGGCTCTTTTTCTCGATGGCAAAATGGGTGCGGGTTTTTATCGAAAACTCGAATGCAGGCGAATCTTGAGAAAAATCTATAATACGCACCAAGGAGAATTCTTTTCGCTATTTTATCCTTTTATAAAAAGGACGTGGAAAGTTTAGGCATGAAACAAAACGATTCTTTTGGACCTCTGCCACTTCGAAAAATTAACTAACCCCGTTACGCGAATATTATTAGAATCTACTTAGCGTCATCGGCGAAAAAGTCGAGGGATTTCGTCGAAGGTTTCTTTGTTACAAACTGCTAACTGCGAGAACTAACACGATCACGCGAAATGCTAATAATTTCTTTACATCAACGAACATGGCGAACTTTCTAACATTCGCGACTTCTCCTGAGACGCGATACCAATTTTAACCACGGAAAATGGTACGTGACATGGTTTCATTGAGAATGTAAAATGTGCTCTCGGTACTCAACGTTTTTGATATCTGGTATATGCTCGAAATGCGCGATAATCGTTGGAAGAACGTGGCGATCGTAAACATCGAAATTTGTTTCAGGCGACAAACGGTGTCTCGTTGGAGCAAAACGACGTGAGAAATAACTGTTATTGCGGAGCTGCTGTGTCTCCGGCTGTACAAGGAGGAAGGAAAGAGAAAATAGCCGATACGTGTATCGAAGAAAAATGTTTATCGAAGTTATAACAGGAATTCTGCTCGCTTATGAGAGAAACTACGTTGACTCGAGAGAAACGTGGGTACGGAATTAAAAGATCAACAAGTGTTCCATATAAATTTAGTTGCGCGGAGAACGATATGCAATAACAAAAAGATAAAAAAATTGGCAGCTTAAAACACGACCAATTTTCCAACTCCAAACCTGCGATATTCTCTCTGCGATTTCGATCCGTTCTGGTTAACGTACAAATTTCACGAATACGCGAAGCTGCGTTAGAAGTAATCGAACTACCGACGAAACTGGTTCCCTTTCGCGAGATTTACGATGTCAGAACGTCGCTATAATTCAGAATACCAAGCGTGACTGCACCAGTCTGAATAAAAGAGCGGGATTTCGATAGCGACGAAAATCGCGGCCGTCGCATTTTTGGCAACAGTTCTTTCATCCGTCTTGGAATCTCCATTTACGAGTCAGTGAACACGACGAAAACGACGTATACTGGTCAAATTTGTAATCGCTTCTTACTCGAACTTAAACCGAATTAAACCGAAATTATCTTTCTGATTAATAGCATGGTTTTTATAGAAATTTACGAACTCCTTTCCAAATTGGCAACACTTTATGCGGTGATAGAGAATCGCCATCAGATTTATCGGTATTTGAAGAACTGGCCACGGATTATACCGACCATTATATCCTCGTTACCTAATTTCCAACGCGACCCACCCTCAGGGAACAGTTTTACTATGGAAGATCGAATGGTTGATAGTAACTGATCGTCGATTACGAAGGCGTTTCCGTGAAACGGATTTTGTGTGTACAGAGAAGAGAACCGCTCGATCGAACCTGTGGACCTGGGTCCGAAGTCGGGCTTTCGATTTGCCGGATGTCTGCCTCGCCATCGCCTTCGACTTATGCGGATTGTCGACAGACCTTCCTTTCGTCAAGATTATGGCTTTCAAAGGAAACAAACTATTTTGTGTTTTTGCGTTGTACGTTCTAAGATTCCGGACGATGTTCGAAGGATTTCCAGCGAAGCTTGAATCGACGATAAGGAGTCGATAATTTATAAAAGGGATCCTTTTTCTTGCAAATAAACCTTAAGGCAAAACGAGAGTGGAATAAACGAAAACAATGTTCGAGGGAAAAGACGAGAAATTTCATAGACGTTGCGGTTTGATTATCCTATTCACGAACGATGGAGCGTTACTTTTCTTGAGGAAGAAATGCCGGGCTGCGCTACTGGTTCGACTACTGGCGTATTCTACTGCGAGGCACTAACGAACAACGCCCTTATTTGTAATTAACAGGACAGCCTTGGACGCATTTCGTGTTTCTTGCAACTCTCTCGATCACCCGCCACGTTTTATTCTCACGATCGTTCGTTTGCCTTTCCACCACATTTCCTATGAAACAATTTCCGCCAATTATTCTCTGTACGATTTTTCTACTAATTAAAGGAAATACGGAAACGAAACGAAAGATGACACGGATAGTCGATGACGGGAAAAAGCAAAAGATCAATCAGATAGATATTATTTACATCGTGTGATCGGCAAAGCTTATTCTTGGCATTCGTTGCGAGACTAACGTAAACGCATTAACACCGCGTTGGCGGTAAGACAAAAACTATGAATACTTCAAGGTGGCTAATTTAGGGGAACCGGCGTACTGTGCGCAAGAGATTGGCAAACAGAGAATCGGTGGAATCAGCCGTCGATCGTGCAATGTCACGGCGATCGATCCTCAACTTTGATATCTAAACGATTTCGTTAATCTTTGTAATGCTGCATATTTTTCAACGATCGCGACTCTTTCGCACAGATCCGATCGTATTCGAGAAATCGAAAGAAGGAGTGTCTTCTTGACCCGTCTACACCCTCTGCTCGAGACATATATCTCAGATGGTAATAAAGTTTCTTTCCTCACGACCATCCTTGCGAGCATTCGTCGTTGTTAGCAGGAAATAGCTTCGCAGCTAATAACATCTGTAGCGTTTAAACGACCATTGGAAGAAAGATTCTTCGTCGTTAGCGTGTTCTTCTATTCAAAATCGATCCCTACGAGGGTTCGCGAGTGCGTTTCTCGGTGGAATATTAGCCCGACGGAAACGCGGCACTAAGTGGCTCGACAGTGACGACTGCGAGGAGTTGGCAACTTCTCGTAACTTCGCGGCGCTCGACATTCTACTTAGGCGTTCGGGCGAAAGCAGAACGAGAGGAGCATTAAACTTGAACTTCGAGGTTCAACGTTTATCGTTTGCTAATTTTACCGCGTGAGGTCATTTCAACGATGTTAACGAACTTCTAATGCGATTTGTCGTATTTTTATGTCATTTCATTTCCGACAACTTTTAATTCATTCCTACGATTTCCGCCACTATCTGCTCTTATTGCTCTTTCGCAATCTTCCAAATGATCCACGTTTATCAAATTGCAGAGGCTGGTAATCATTTTTTGGAAATATTTCCGATCTTCCTGACTTTGTAATTGGAAGTGAAACACGAAACGGTCGAGTTATTTTTGCTCGGCGAATTATTCGATAGAAAATGTAAAGCTCCTCCTGTACGAGCAAAGGGCAGGCCATACGTGGTCATCGATAGTCACGAAACTGCCATGAAGTTCAAGTATTCATTGACTGCACACCCACTGTACAGAAAATTCAGCGTTTTGCGTGCGCGTTGCCGTGTGTTGGAAATACGCGTTCCACGAACGAGGCATAAAATGTTGTCGAACAGTTTGTTCGAACAAATTGCCCGACGAATTTCAAACGAGTTGGCGTTTACGAAAGCCACGTCTGCGCGTTAAACGGCACGAAAAAACGCTTTTTATAAACGGCACGAAAAAACGCTTTTTATAAACGACATCGAAAAAGTATTCCGGAACGTGATAACCGAGCAAAAACGAAAATGAGATGAAAAGTAGCGACGGAAGAACGTAGAAGGAACAGCGAGTGACGTTCGCTCTGTCAAGAAAAGATGAGCACGGGGACATTAAGTTTTTACGTCAGCACGGATCCAGTCAACTTCGGATAGAAAACGCGAAATAACGTTCGAAGGAGATTCTAAGACGATGTCGAATTATTTTACGATATCCTAGAAATATCCGATCGTAGGAAATATTTGTAAACGTGTGACGAGAGGTACGCGATCGATGGAACGTTGCTTAAAATTTTAAAAAGTCGTTAGACTGAATTCTTGAAGGAAAAGGCAAAGGGTTTTGTAGAAATACGCGTGAGAAATATTCGAGACTCTGTTTGTTGTGTATTGTAAAAGTATTTGAGATATTTCGACTGACTTTTTAATTCCATTTCGTAATCCGTAGGTCGTATTGGATGTTTCTACAAACCAATGTACTTAAAATTCTACTTCCAAAGCTCGTATCGTGGTTCTTCGAATGAAAAACTTCGAGCAGTAGCCTTTTTATATCGAGAATTTTGCCGAACTCTTAGAGCAAAAGTTGGAAGATATTTTGGTTATTAATCACGTTTCTTACACTCGTGCAACTATCAATCTTTCTTAGAAAAATCTACCAGTCACGAAGGACGTAAAATAGCGAAAAGATCATACATCAAATTTTGAGAATTTCTATCGAAAAAAAAAATGCAGAAGCAGGGAAACCACGTGGAAGAGCATTATCGACATTCGAAGTACAAATTAACGAGGAAACTTTGCGATAAAAGCGAAATATTCAAATATCACGAGCACGATTGATAAAAAACTTATACTTACAATACTACTTATAAAACTTATACTTTGAGCAGAATATAGTCACGCGTATCTCCAAATATTTCTATTAACGATCAATTAATTCCAAATCTCCAGATCCACGAATAACTTATTCATTTTTACGTGATCATTGGTTGACATTAGTCGCTTAACATCCATTTTATATTCGTTCTGTATATTCAACCGCACGTTGTAATACAACGTCCAACCAACGTCTAACTTGCTTTTTCTT